AAAGGCGGGGCATAGAGGAGAAACAATAATGTACAGTATGTGGAAAATAATGTGTTTTTTTAACCTTAAACCGCATAAAAACATTTCATTACACCAAATACACAAAATAATGGTCTTTCTATATGACCCCTATGACCCCTTTAAAATTTCAGTAGAATTTGCAATTGGGGTGCACCAGTGGCTTCAAAGTCCTCCGCAGTGTCCGCAGTGAGTGTCTTGTAAAGTGATTTCCCATTTTAAATGTGCACATAGGCGCAATGATATTACGCAGCGCCTGAAAATAGTCCCCAGCTATGTAACTTCCAACGTTCAGGTGCTGCGTAATATCATTGCGCCTGCTGCACCCATGGTATGGCAGCAAAGTTCCTTGATTATTACGCTGGAATGAGAGTATAGTTCCTAGCCATATCGGCCTAGAAAATCGCAACTTTTCATTTTCCGTCGGTCTTAGTACACGATGTAACTACAGAAGAGTCAAGTTTTAAATAGGAAAAATATCGAAACTTTTTGGTCATTTTTGAGCGAGATGCTAACGGTCTAATCAGATTCAATGATCTATGCTAGGCTGAGTGGATTCGAAAACGGTAAAACTCAACTGTTTAACTCTAGGGCAGTTGGAAAATGAGCCTATTTTCAAAAATAGTGGAGTGTTCCTTTAAGCTTAATATCTCCGTGTACAAACTATGGTTTGATGAAGAAATCGTTAGGTCTTGCAGAACACCGTTATGGCATCCAATGATGATCAAATATTGTTTGGAAAATTCTTCCCTACATTGAAGTTTCTGCAAGTTGCTGGACTTTGATTGTCAGTGTGACTGGTGGAAGCAGTGCCGCTTTGATTATTTGAGTAGGTTTTGAGTCTTAAGCGCTATTTGCACGGGATTAGTATTACCTGGTGACCTCCAGTCATTTGTAATAATTGCCTCTATACTGCATTCAATTTAACAGTGAAAGTGTATGAGTGATAAATGTGTGACAATTAAAAATGAATACATCTCTGGTTTTCTAGAAGCCACTGTTTTAAGTGAGTTTTAAAGGTGTTGAATGTAGGACACTCTCTTATTGGGAGGGGCAAACTATTCCAGAGTTTACCGCCTATTATTGACAATAGTTTTGGTGTAATGGTGTAATGACAATGCCTTTTTATCAAAAGTTTTTATAGCTTTCTTAAATAGAGATTCAATACTTTTAAGAGTAGTTGTGCTAGTTAATGACCAATTTGTAAAACAATACTCAATATGTGAAAAGATCATAGTATATAGGAACAACTTGGCAGCTTTGGTGTCAAGAAACGGTCTAACTTGTTTAAAATTCTGCAAATTGAATTTTACTTTATTTGCCACCTTTTTTACATGACGTTTAGATGTTAAGGTGGAGCCATATGTGACTCCTAGATACTTGAAATCATTAACAATATCAAGCTCCTGTACTCTAAGGAACACATTAGAATGTGACACCTTCATATTTTGTTTGGTAAACGCCATACAAACTGTTTTTTTGGTGTTTAGGTAGAGACATGACTTAGTAAGCCAGTCATCAATGTGAGCCATTGCAGATGTAAGTGTGGATGCTATCTCTTGGTAGTTCTTAGCATATGTAAAGATTACAGCATCATCTGCATACATCTGAACATCAACATTTTTACATGCCTCTGGCAAATCATTTATATACAATGTAACAGATAATACTAACCCATGCGAATAGGGCTTTAAGATGTGTTTTTCAGTCACTGACAGAAGTTTGTTTCTTCATCTACATAGTTTCAGATTAATTAAATGGAAGAAATGCTGAGTTTCTGCTGAAGAAGCTGTGGCAGGTGGACAGTTCAAAGAGTAACACGCTTGTTTTGTTGCTTTGTAAGGGGCTTGCGTGAGCTCAAACAGTAGATCATCATGGCGCTAGCAATGCCGAGGTCATTTAATTAAAAATAATTGTTGATATTTGCGCTGAATATTTATCCTGAAAACTTTTTTTTGAGACCACATTCACACGCTGCTTTGAAATAAGGGGGAAGACACTAAACGAGAGCAGGGATCTCTCCCGCTCTTTCCAGTGAATCACAGCACGCGTCACATGAGCTTATTTTACGTAACTAGAAACAGAATATTTTTGATAGATTTGACACTAAATGGAAGTTCCTTCTATTTGTTTTCTAAATGCATGTACTAGATGTTATTGTGAAGGATTCATCTATAGGGGATGGGTGATCTTCCCAAAATATCACGATCTTGTGACGCACAATCACAATCCACGATCTGAATCACAAACTTCGTGTGATCTTGATGGCACACAATGGTTTCAGTATGAGCAACCTGAAAGAGATGCAGCGAGAAGCGTTTGTGGTGTATGGACTTTTGTCCTGTATATTGCAGTAAATGATTTGGCAGCACAAGTAAATATATTGGAAACCAAAGTCATCGTTCACTCATTTTCCCCATCAGCATGTCACTCAACTCTTGTTTTCCCTTTGTATTTAAATGTGGCTCATCGTGAGAGAGTCCGTACTGATGTGTGAGGAGCTGACTGATGAGTGTGAGTGACGTATGACGGCTGTAGGTTTGATGAGTGTTTGCATGTGTGTGTCTTTGTGGAGTTACTGATTTAACGTTGGCTGTGAAGTGTGTTGACAATGAAACGGTCAGAGTACTTTAGTCTGCTACATGCTTTGACACTTGTTGGTTTGAAATGACTCCGATTGCTTTTGAAAGCGCTTCTTCAAGAGATAGTTCACCAAACAAGAAAACTCAGTCCAGACTTCATTCCTTCTGTGGAACACAAACTGAGATCATCTCAGGGTTTGTGTGTCCCAGTACAGAATAAAGTCAATGGGACTAATGTTGCTCGGACCCCAGTGACTGAAACCATCACATTTGCCTGAGAGCGAGTAGATGACAGCAGTTTCCGTGTTGGGATGAACTATCTGTTTAGCAGTTGTTGTTGCTTTAGTTAATCTAGTTTCTGTTTGTTTATTGCTCAGTTTCCTCTCCGTCAGAGCAGAAGAGCAGCGCTCAGGACGTGTGTGATGATGATATCGAGATCGTATTTGAGCTTAAACCATCAATAGAGCAAGCAGAGCTGGCTGCCAGTCTGATGCTTCCTCCTACGTTCTTCTGTTACAAAAACCGTCCAGGATACGTCAGCGACGATGACGGCGATGGTAAGATCCACACGCTATTTAACGGTAAAACATATGACCGAAGTCCAGTTTAGTTCATCAGAGCTGCACTTCTGTACACTGTCATTGTTAAATCTTTAACAGTATTCACATCTTCTGATTGAAGTGTTTTGTGTCACTGTGAGAAAGGACTAACCTCAGATTCACACCGCTGTTTTCAGATGAGGATTTTGAGAGCGCAGTGAGGGATCTGAAGGGGAAGCTGTATGCGGATGGAGCTGATGGAGCGTCTGATCACGGTAGGTTGCTCTAGACCAGTGGTTCTCAAACTGGGGTGCGCGGAGGGTACTCGCAGGCAAAATATATAAACTAGGGCTGTCAGTTTAACGCGTTAACTTAATTAATTAGTTATAAAAAAAATAGCGCGATTAAAATATTTTAACGCATTGGCCCCGCCCCCAAACATTTCATACAGTTGACTGTTCACAAAATATGATGCAGGGCAACAACTCCATAAATGCAGTTATGCCCTAAAATTCAAGATATTGGAGCAAAAATGCCCCTGTATGAGTTTTTGTCTCATATTTATATCATACGATATCACACGAGCAGCGAGAGCAATAGGCTATTAGTGCTGATTTTGTCCCGAATATCACAAGTTTAAATGTGATTTTATACAACAGTTCAGTGAATAAGAAGTTGATATTGTGTTATATTATAAACTTTCATAGTATGAACAAACAATACTGAGATGTTTCTCAAATTATCTTCTTTTATGGTCCATAGTTTATGTTAGGCCGTTGTAGCCTAAATGTTTTTGTGTAATAAATGTTTTTGTTGAATAAAATAAAATATTTCTAAAGCAACAATTTGTAATGTCTACTTGATACTTTCTCATTTAACACAAAAAATAACTTTAAATAATCTTTTGTGGGTATTTTCAGTCAAATTTATTTTGCGATTAATTGCGGTTAATTAGATTAATTAATCAAAACATCATGTAATTAGATGAAAAATGTTAATCCACTGGCAGCCCTAATATAAACACCTGCCTTCTCTAGTGCAGTGAATCTCAACCTTTTGGCGTACCGGACCCCAGTCCAATTCAGAACCATCCTCAAGGACCCCCAGAACAAAACTGACTCCTCTATGTATCATTTGTGTCTTTGTACCAAATACAGTCAAGTATAATTCAAGTTAGCTGATTTGTCCAGTATTTGGCCATATCATCAGCTATATTGGATTTTTCTTTCATGGGAACATGTCATGTCAAAATATACAAAAATTCATACTTTATACGGACCCCCTGGCCTTAATACAAGGTAAGGTGGCCAACAGGTAAATAAATGTAGAACTGCACTGTTTGCTCACGCGCATCAATCAGAGTAAACGTGAGAGATGTTGAGACGAGCACGACGCTTGCGTACCACATGATGCTCGCTCCATTATGGAGTAAAAGAGGAGAAATAATAAAGTGAATGGGGCAGATAGGTAAGCTAATGAGAGTGAACGGAGAGGAGGGTTGTGTTCGGGAGCAGCCAGAGATCTTTAGGCAGGTGAAGAGAGTGAGGTTAATGCGTGCCGTTGTGGCTCCCGCTGGTGAAAAACCGCGGGTTATATATGAAGAGTTTATTCGCAAATACAGATAACTCAGTTTTTTTTTTAATTTTCAAAAATCATGTTTTTTATGATGTTATGAAGTTTTTGTGTTTTATTGTGTGTTAGCTGTATTTTTTTGTTGTTGTTTTTACTTACTCAAAATAACCAAACTGCAGTTTGATTGAGATTAATTGGAATGCACGATGAAAAAACATGATTTTTGAAAACTGTTAAAAAGTTTTACATTTACAAAAAGAGTTCTCATGTGCACGTTTTTAAGATATTTAGTATCTAGTGTGAGAGAGCGGGTGCGCGACTGTAAAACGTTTGAGAACCACTGCTCTAGACTACTCTAGTTATCAGGGCTCGACGGTGATGTCCGCTCGAGGCCAAAGTGGGAGAGTTATGTACGTGGTGTCAGGTGTAATTGACGTCAGATTATCCTAAGAGTTTATCACACACACGCAGCACTAATGAGCTCTGTGTGTGTTGGTCCGTTCTCTCATGCTGGGCGTTTCATCAGAGCTTGTGTCTGCAGACTCGGAGGTCAGTCTGGTGTGGGAGAAGCGGCCGACCTCAGACGAGGAGCAGCGAGCCAGACGCCTCCTGCTGCCTCCCACCTTCCTGTGCGGCGTCAGCAGCGACTCCGAGCCGGAGGCAGAGAAACCAGACGACTTCAGCGCTGAGCTCCAGAAGCTGCAGCAGCAGGTGACGAGTGTTTCTGATCTCCACATCGCTGTGAGTCCGGTCTGCAGCACAGCACCAGCTCTGGACACACAGGTGAAGCCTAAGCCTTCCCATGATGCAGCAGATGAGGAGCAGCGAGCCAGACGCCTCCTGCTGCCTCCCACCTTCCTGTGCGGCGTCAGCAGCGACTCCGAGCCGGAGGCAGAGAAACCAGACGACTTCAGCGCTGAGCTCCAGAAGCTGCAGCAGCAGGTGACGAGTGTTTCTGATCTCCACATCGCTGTGAGTCCGGTCTGCAGCACAGCACCAGCTCTGGACACACAGGTGAAGCCTAAGCCTTCCCATGATGCAGCAGATGAGGAGCAGCGAGCCAGACGCCTCCTGCTGCCTCCCACCTTCCTGTGCGGCGTCAGCAGCGACTCCGAGCCGGAGGCAGAGAAACCAGACGACTTCAGCGCTGAGCTCCAGAAGCTGCAGCAGCAGGTGACGAGTGTTTCTGATCTTCTCATCGCTGTGAGTCCGGTCTGCAGCACAGCACCAGCTCTGGACACACAGGTGAAGCCTGAGCCTTCCCATGATGCAGCAGCTGTGGACACGAGCAGCGGCGGAGCAGAAGAGCGTCAGACTGACGGCAGCCGTCCCATCGACCTCTCCACCAAGAGAAGCAGTGAGAGCGACAGCACCGCTACAGGTGAGTGCCAGTCAAATCTTAACAAGCTTCTCTCAGAGCAGTCTAACTCCTAATATTAACTCCAGTCATCATGCGAAATGTTTGCTTTGTGGTTGCTGAATAAATGCACTTCTGCATCCTCTGTGCTGCGAGATCCATGTCTGGATTCATGTTTGTATTTAGTAGCAGTAAACAGCGCAAGCAGCTTCGGGAAAGAAATCAGACTGGCTGCGTGACACTTATTACTATTATTTTTACTCCGAATATCTCAGTAGAGATCACTAAACTGCAGCTGACATGTTTGCCAGTGTTTTCAGCTCAGCAGCACTTCTGTACTGTAGAGAGAGCGCATGCTAATGGTTTTAATGAGGAAAGCTGTATTCGGAGGATTTAAACTCTTGACGTCTGGCACCCATAAGCATGAGCGTCTATGGAGGCTTGCTGCCAAAGCAAGATAATGGCAATATCAAATAAAAAAAGTATTTTCTGGATAAATAACCAGCAGGCAAATATCGTGGCTATAATTAATCAGGACCAGCAGAAATCCTGATAATAATTAATGTGTGTCCCTGGAGCACAAAAGCAGTGTTAAGTCGCTGGGGTATATTTGTAGCAATAGCCAACAATACATTGTATGGGTCAAAATTATAGGTTTTTCTTTTATGCCAAAAATCATTAGGATATTAAGATCATGTTCCATGAAGATATTTAGTAAATGTCCTACCGTAAATATATCAAAACTTAATGTTTGATTAGTAATATGCATTGCTAAGAACTTTATTTGAACAACTTTAAAGATGATTTTCTCAATATTTAGATTTTTTTGCACCCTCAGATTCCAGATTTTCAAATAGTTGTATCTCAGCCAAATATTGTCCGATCCTAACAAACCATACATCAATGGAAAGATTATTTATTCAGCTTTCAGATGATATATAAATCTCAATTTCACAAAATTGACCCTTATGACTGGTTTTGTGGTCCAGGGTCACATATATGATTAAGCATGCAGCCCTTTATTGTAATCACAAGCAGATAATTTTCATGCTTAGTCACAGAACTCATGAACGTATTCTTTCTCGGTACATGGAGAGATTTGTCTTGGAGTGTAAGTGATCTGTTGCATGCACCCCTTCAATGTATTTTGGCATCTAGCTCAAAATAGAACGGCTTTCAACAGATCAATAAACAAAATGATTATGTATAAAAGTCAAAGAACATTCGATGCGAACCCAAAAAAGCTGCATCTAGCTTGTAGGCCTAATCGTTTGGGTATGAAAACACAACAAAATACAAATCCATTTGTCTTACATAGTGCAGAACATAGTGCAGCCATTAAGTTGCCCCAACAGGGCATTGTGATTTAAAAGGTTAAATGAAATGTATGTATGTATATATATATGATACCATAATAAACCATGATGCAGACCCAGCCGTGAGCTTTCAGGAACATGATCATCTGTAAGCTGTGTTCAGAGAGGACCGGATAAAAGCACATGAGCTGTGAGTTAGTGAGCGAGGAGCATCTGCTGAATGCTGTTTAGCGTGTGACGTGAGTTTTTGCTGTCCTCCTGCAGGTCTGTCTTTTGGATTCGCATCTGCGGGTGGGTTTTCATTTGAAGAACTCGCAAAGACTTCGGGTGAATTTGCATTTGGCAAAATAGGTGAGTCTCTTTACCTGTTCACCAGTGAATATAACTTAAAACTCATTCTCTCTGCTTGAGAGTGAAGGGTTTTTTAGGGTTTTCTTGGGCTTGCTGGTGTGAACTGCTGCTCTCATCAATGTGAAGCCTGAGGTCAATATTTACACTGTTATAAATTACATTTTGGTTTGTTTTCCCCCAAACTCAATGACATTCTTTAAGAGCACAGACACAATCATACAGCACTTCGTTGATTCTGTGCTTAAGCAGAAAACACTGCTTGCTGTGTGAGGTGTAATGTGTTCTGTAATAATCAGTGTTTGTACCTCATACTGTTAATGCTGTCTAAAAACACAGGGCAGTGTTATTTATATTCTAATCTAAGTTCATCTTTGTCTGACTTTTGAGAATGCTTTCCTAAAGCACATTATAAGGTCTTGTTTGTTTTGCTTGTTTTTAAAGACCTACACATATCTGAATGTTTGAGAGAAGAAAATCAAATCTCAACTTTAAATCCATGATCTGAAAAGTGAATGATGAACAGTTTTCATGAAGACGTGCTCATTTCTGCATTTCATAATCATGTATTTTCTTGACAGGCTGAGTTTTCTGATGTCTTGTAAGCGCTCAGCGCTGTTGTCTAAAAGCTTGTGACTGATATCAAACATTTCAAACATTGCTGTAAACATCTGATCCCATAAACAAGCTCTTCATAATGTCTGTTTTGTGAGTGTGTCTGTGTGTGAGTGTGTGTTCACTGGCAGCAGTAATATGAATTAGTATTATGAGAGGGCTAGTATGTAATCATACCGCTGCTGTCAGCATTGATATTAGGAGTATGCCGTTTCATCATGTGTTTATTTCTGCAGATGATGATTTCTCATGGTCAGGCGCAGGAGCCACAGTCTTTGGAAGTACAGGGACACAAAAGGAAGGAGAAAAAACAAGCCATGAAGCAGAAGAGGAGGGCTGTGATGAAGAGACGACTCATAATGAGGAGGTCCACTTTGAGCCGATCGTGTCCCTGCCTGAGGTGAGTGTTTGCTGTGATGCTGGTAGCTGTGCTCCTCGTGTCTCTGGAGAAGTGTGACGTGTGCTGATCCTGCAGGTGGAGGTGAGGTCTGGTGAGGAGGACGAGGAGATCCTGTTCAGAGAAAGAGCCAAACTGTACCGCTGGGACCGCGAGCTCAACCAGTGGAAGGAGCGCGGCGTGGGAGACCTCAAGATCCTCTTCCACCCGCTGAAGAAGAGCTACCGCCTGCTGATGAGACGCGAGCAGGTGCTCAGAGTCTGCGCCAACCACAGCATCAGCCCGAGCATCGAGCTCAAGCCCATGAACACCTCGGCTAACTCTCTGGTGTGGACCGCCACAGACTACTCAGGTGCAGCCCTCGCTCCTCGCCTCACACACACACACATGCAAATGAGCACAGTACCTTCAAAATGATATATGGCTTGTTGAAATCGGACAAAAAATGACTGAGCTACAGCCGTTTGAAGACGATAGTCAGCAGAGTTGATTTAGAGAAAAATCAAGTTAAAGATTTCAAAGCAAAATCACCTAGCAGTGATGCATATTTTCCTCCATTTCTTGTTTTAATAATAATTACTATATTATTAATCACAATATAGCTGTCTTTTATTTGATCTTTGTCATTAAAAATAAGAACAAAGATGCAAATAAACAGTAGTTTATCTTTTCTTTGAATGTATGATTAACATTGAGATCTATATTAAGACCTGCTGTAATGTGTGGATTTAATATAATGTTACGCTTCAGATTTTTCCCCAACCATTCACTAAACGTTCGTGTAAGACATAATAGATTATGTTTGTGTGAATCTCGCCAAGACATATTTTACAATGATGTACTTTATAGTGAGATGGCTTGCTCTCGGAGAGGCGCGACCGTTTTGTTTTCATCAGCATGGGTTTGAAAATCATATTTCACTGGTTTGGACTCGTATCATGAAGAATTCAATATGAATATTCACAAAGCTGGAATGCTGCACTTTCTAACAATAGACCTGCAACTTGTGATGAGAAGCAGCGCAGCAGAGAAGATGATACTCCTCTCAGAAAACATACAAATATAGATCATTTTAGATGTTTAATCACTATTTGGAGCAGTGGGATCGCTAGAAGAGGGCTTAATCAACTCGTTTTTGTGAAAACCTCAAATTCGACCAAAACTGACATTTTTCACTTCTTTTGCCTGCAGCTCAAAATAAGACACTTTTTTTTTTGCCAGCACGGGTCAGATCTCTCTCCCGCCGCTGTCCTCACGTCTGTATGTTTGTCCACACAGAGGGAGACGGGAAAGTGGAGCAGCTGGCGGCCAAGTTCAAGACTCCAGAGCTGGCGGAGTCCTTCACACGAGCCTTCACAGACTGCCAGAGCCGCATGTGTCAGACTGACGCCGCTCAGACGTCTGCCGCCGAGGCGCTGTCTCGAGGCTCCAACCCTGTGGTGTTCTTCGACATCGCCGTAGATGACGAGCGTGCTGGGAGAGTCGTCATGGAGCTCTTCGCGCACCTCGTGCCCAGAACGGCGGAGAACTTCCGGGCTCTGTGTACGGGAGAGATGGGCTTCAGTTACCGCCGGTCCATCTTCCACAGGATCATCCCGGACTTCATGTGTCAGGTGAGGACACGCTGATATTGTGCAAACTCACTGATGATGGGTTCTATACCAAAACAGCATGAATATTCCTTTACATCAGTGCTTTGAAATAGATTCTCAATGTCAAAACGATCATCGTGCAACTGCTACCTATCAAATCAACACATAATGCATGTCTGTCAGTAATAGGGTTGGGACAATAAATCGATGCATCGCGAATGGAGAAACGATTCTGCATCGATTCTGAGATTTTCCGAATGCATCACGATTGATTCTGAGCTTAATTTTTAACAGCAGATGGCGCTGTGTGCTTTAGAGACTGCTGCACTCTGCTTGCTTCCAGTTCCTTACACACACACACACAGCACTTGAACCTAAAATAATCATTCCTACAGTTTGAAAAGGTTGAGGTGAATTACAAGGGTGTTCATAGTGGGCTGTGTTTACATTAGTCATAATGTCATAATGTTCATAGTTTACATAAAAGCCAAGGTTCAAGTACATTTAACCACTTGCAATAATAACGCACAAGCACTCTTCTTCATGAGCATTTGAGTGTGCGGTTAAAAACTAGATCAGAGCGCCATCTGCTGTTAAAAACTAAGCTCAAAATTGATTCCAGAGAGAATTGCGATGCATTCCCAAAATCTCAGAATAGATCCATTTTTTCAGTGCTCATGTTAACGGATCAGAGCGTTCACACTGCACACGGTTGCGTTCCAGGAGCGGTGCGTCTGCAGCAGGGCAGAGATCGAGTCCGAGTCTGTTTCTGCTGTGCTGCACGCGCCCAATTAAAGTGACAGCGCATTGTTCACGGTGCATATGAAGATGGATTGACACGAAAATGTAGTAATTACACCATAAATGCATATAATTAAAGCCTACTGATTCACAGTCAACGCGCATGACTTTTTGGTTAGGTTTAAAACAAGGAAAAGTGCTCTTTTAGATGAACAAGACAATATGTGTCCCTGGAGCACAAAAGCAGTCTTAAGTCGCTGGGGTATATATTTGTAAAACATCCCATGTTTCGGTCGTGACAGTAATGCTTTGGTAGCGACCACATCACATTACAGAATTTTAGCTCACATACTACAACTATTTAGAGATACAAAAATTCAAAAAATCCTTATTTCCCCCAAATAAAGGATTACGTGTTTCGCTTTTGATGGCATGTTTTGGTCGTGACTGTTTTGGTAGTGACAATTTTAGATACTTTTGAACCTAGCTCAAAGATGCTAATCAGCACATGGTTATCTAGTAACATTTCTGAACAGTTATGCGCATATAAAAACTAAATGTTATGGAATAACTCCCAAAAAAGTGTGCTTAATTGCAGAAAAAAGGGGTTTGGTAGTGACGTTCCTTAAAGTGACACAGATTTTTATATCTACTCACCATGTAGCTATGAGAGAATGGGACACAGGAATATTTCCCGATCATACATTTAGGGGTGTAGTTAAAGCCAGTCTCAGTCAATCGGTAGTGACATGAAAATGCGGGACATTTATATTTATATTATATTTAAATAATTTTTTACAAGTTGAAATTTAGGGGTTAGGGTTCAGGACGGCCACCTCCCAATTGAAAGTACCCAATAAATGATTATTTAATATATATTAAGCTTACTGATATTTTTAATATTATTGTGGGTTTCAACAGATAATAGAAGGATCTTAGTAAACATCTAAGATTTGAATACTTAAATGCTTTTTAAATGTGTTTTTTTGGTTGTGGGACAGCAGTTTGCACCAATTCTGTAGAATGGCCCATTGACAAAAAATCTAGTAGCATCTCAAGGAAAGTAAAAGGTCTGCTTGGAGTAACTGAACCTCTGGAGCGAGACGGGTCATTATTGAACATTATGAACTAAGCTCATTAAAAATGAGATGCAAACAGCTGGTCATGGTGGCGGTCTGAAATATCTAGATTCTGGATTGTTTCTGCTCCTAGCTGTGGTTTCTGATTTAAATAACTCAGGTGTGTGTGTGTTTGGGTCCTGCTGTCTCTCAGGGCGGTGATATCACCAGCCAGGATGGGACGGGAGGGAAGTCCATCTACGGAGGGAAGTTTGAGGACGAGAGCTTCGAGGTGAGGCACACGGGGCCGGGGCTGCTGTCCATGGCCAACCGCGGCAGAGACACCAACAACTCGCAGTTCTTCATCACCCTCAAGAAAGCAGAGCACTTGGACTTCAAGCACGTGGCCTTCGGATTCGTCAAAGACGGCATGGATGTGGTGAGGAGAATCGGAGAGCTGGGCACTAAAGACGGGAAACCCACGGAAACCATCACCATCTCAGACTGTGGACAGATTTTTTGAGCTGTTCTACACAAACTACTGTTCATCATGTTTGAGACCGTGTTCCCTGAACTCTTGTGTAAATCAGAACTTGTATACGCAGTGGTTTTATTTTTGTCCTGTTTGTGTGTTAATAAAGTGGACAGCACTAGTTGACAATAAAATTAATGGGAAAAAAAAGAAAAACTTTATTTTATTACAGAACTTGTTTACCCCAGAGTTTCCTCACATTTACAGGGGTGTAATTGGACAGAATGTGAATCTTTTGAAGACTTTCTTTGTTAAATGTGTGTATTTGGTTGAAGATCACTTCACTGACACGAGGTCCCACACAAACACAGCCATGTTTCTTGCCACTTTGAATTTCTTGAACATAAAATAAACTTCTGACAACGAGTTTCACTATTTATTCAAAGTGTGTCATCATTGATGAGAAACTGTGCATGCTGTCAAATGCTTCTGAACCAAGTGAAAGCAAAGCTGCGGTTTCTCCTTTAGTTTTGACAAATCTTTCAGGAAAACTGGTAGCTTAAGTTACCTCGGACTAACCAGCAGTGATGTCGGGAGTTAATATTCCTTTGTGTGCACTGCAGTAAATGCACTCTTTAATTAATTGAATTGAATTGAATTGTTTATAAAAGGCTAAATTAAACCTTTTAGAGGCCTGGGTACTTTTACAGTGTTTTTATACACTTTTTGAAGTTGAAAGTTTTGAGTTTATGAAAACGATAGTTCACCCCAAAATGAAAATTACCCCATGACTTTGTTCTTTCAGATGAATATAATCCGAGTTATATTAATGTCCTGGCTCTTCCAAGCTTTATAATGGCAGTGATTGGTGGTTGAGATTTTGAAGTCCAATAAAGTGCGTCCATCCATCATAAAACGTGCCTCACACGGCTCCGGGGGGTGAATAAAGGCCTCCTGTAGCGACTCCATGTGTTTGTGTAATACAAATATCCATATTTAAAACTTCGTAAACCGCTAACTGTTGTACGTGCTTTCAAGAGAGAGTGGTGTAGCATAAGTTCCGGTGAATAGTGACAAACACCGAAGCGCAGTGAAGAGAGCAAAACAAAACACTGGTCGCGAAGTAGAATTACAAGACGAGGATTTGCAAAGAAAAATGTTGGAGGATTTCCTTTGCTCCTGGTTCTCGTGAGACTAGCATATTCTCACCAGAGCTTATGCTACGCTACACCTACGTCATCCGCCGGAACGGCACTCTCTCGTGAACCTGTGTACGACAGTTTATAAAGTTTTAAATATGAATAAT